CATAATATCTTAGTAGTGGTCAGTATGGGTTTAGAGCTAAAAAAAATTCCACATCAATGGCTCTAATGAAGTTTACGGAGCAAGTAAAAACTGCTATTGATCAAAAACAGTATTGTTTGAGTATTTATGTAGATATAAAGAAGGCATTTGACACAATTGATCACAGTATTCTTCTTGAAAAATTAAGTAAATGTGGTATTAGTGGGTCAGCACTACAATGGGTATCTAGTTATTTGAAAGAGAGGAAACAGTTTGTAGAAATAAATGGTGTAAGATCTAAACTTGGTAATATCACGTGGAGTCCCTCAGGGCTCTGTACTGGGACCTAAGTTATTTATTTTATATGTGAATGACTTAGTAAATGTGTCAGGACTTTTCAAATGTGTTTATTTGCTGATGATACATTATTTTGTTTAGATAAAGTTATAGAAATTTTTTTTTGAGATGGTACAGAAAGAATTAGAGAAAATACGAAATTGGTTTAAACAAAACAAATTGTCATTAAATTTGTATAAAACAAATTACATGATATTTAGTAATAGGAAGACAACTGTTGATTTCTCATTTAGATGGTATTGAGATCTGTAAAGTCAGTGAGGTGAAATATCTGGGTGTCATCATTGATGACAAGCTGACATGGAGACCTCATACATTATTTAAAAACAAAAATATCTAAATCTATTGGAGTACTGTATAAAGTCAGGGAGTTATTTAATGACAAGGTTCTGCTTGTGTTGTACAATTCAATAATTGTTCCACATTTAATTTACTGTATTGAAATCTGGGGTAAAGCTTGCAAAACAATTACAAATCCAATTTTTGTTTTGCAGWAAAGAGCTGTAAGAATTATTGCAAGAAAAGATTACAACCATCAATCCAATACATTATTTTGTAAACTGAAAATTTTGAAATTCTATGATTTGATTGACTATAATATTTTACTGTTTATGTACAAGGCTCACAGAAACAAAACAGTTATTATCTTAGGGGATGGAAATGTTTGTGAAGCCATATTTTCATATTTGTTTGAGAGAAAGATGTACTTTAATCCACGGTATAGGATTGTGGAATGTCTGGAAGATAATCTTAAAAATGCCAGATCTATATATTTATTTAAGAGACAGATAAAAGCTAGTTTGTTAAAGGTATGTGGAAAAGTAAAATGTGAAACTATATAAAATTATGTTTGAGTTGATGTTTTTATTTTTATTTAGTATTGTTTTGTAAATTATGTTTTGTTTGAATATATTCTGGGGTTAAACAGGGCAGACATTATAAGATTTATTCTTCTTCTGCTACCTTTCATNCCAGAACCGCTCAGACTTGACTCAGGTTGAGTCCGACTCATGGATCAGTTCTTCCACAGCAGTGATCCAGAACCAGTCGGACCATCAGACCCAGGTCCCTTCAGTCCTCCTGGAGCTCCACAGACCAAACCTACTTCCTGATACTTTGAGTTATTTTAGTTCCTCAGAGATCCAAATGCTCAATCAATATATCAATCAAAACTTTATTTATAAAGCACTTTACAAACCCCAAGTTTGGTCCCCGTTAACAAACGAGCAGCAGAATTCTGAACCAACTGAAGACGTGGAGCAGAGACTGGTCAATCCCACTGTAGAGGGAACTGCAATAATCCAGTCTGGAGAAAATAAAAGCATGAATAATACAATGACAATAAACACTTATCTTATCTTTAGTCCAGGTCTTGGATCCTCACAGCAGGTCTTGACTCTAGCAGAGTTGAGGGGATGCACTGGACTGGTTTAACCAATCTGATACATTAACCATAGACTATGTAAGTTCGCTGATTACTTGAATTGTGTTTGCACCATGTGTGTAAATGACTGTTTTGTACATTTGAATGAAGATATTACGACAAACTGGAAGAAGGTCGTTTACATATCGAGAAAATAACAAAGGCCCCAGAATGGAACCTTGTGGAACACCTGTCGACCAACAGAGAAGGTGAAATGTTGTCTCTGATTCTAAGTGACTGAGCTCGAAGTTGAATTTACTTCATTTGGTCAATAATATTTTATGATTTACAGAATTAAAAGCTTTTTTCAGGTAAAGAAACACAACACCACCCTGATCAAATAAATGTTTTAGGTTTTCTAGGAACAAACAGTTAGCAGTGTTCAGTGCTCCTGCTCTCTTGGCTGAAGCAGGTGTTTAGATGTGAAATCATTTGTCAGGCAGCTCCTCTCTCTGATTAACTGAGTGAATGTGAAGCAACACCTGAACAGGTGAGCAGCAGGGTCTAACCAGGATGAACTGGGCCCGGTTCAGCTTGAAGCAGCAGTGAAAATCCCCACTCCTTCTCAGGAAGACTTTTAGCAGAACTCCTGAGATTCTTCAGAACCGGAGCTTTTCTCTGCAGAGCAGGAAATCAAGTGTGAACTGGAGAAAARAGGAAGCTGCTGCTTTCTGAGAACCCCACTGAGCAGGAATGAGGATGTTTGGGTCTGACAGCTGGATATAAAGCCAGCAGGTCGGAGTCGTCCTGCAGAACCTGAGCCTCCATCCCAACAGAACCGTGTGGAAGAACCATGAAGACTCTGGTGACTCTCAGCCTCCTGGCTCTCCTCTGTTTCCTGTATCACAGCTCTGCAGGTAAGCTCAGGAGCTCTGCTTGTGTCGACTCGTCTGGGAGTCGGGTCGGTGCTGACTTCTGTTTGTGTCCACAGGTCCGGTAGGTCCAGGGCTGGTGTCGGGTGGGTTCTGCTGTAAGAAAAACAGGAATGTTACAATCCCCAAGAACAAAGTGAAGGATCTGAAGATGAGCCCAAGCCACTGCTTTCTCAAGTCTCTGATGTGAGTTCACTGGTCTTTAGCTCCGCCCACTTTTTGTGAAGATTGTCAGGTGTTAGAGACATTTTACTGAAGGGTGTCAGGTGTCAAGGACTCTTATTTTGAAGGGTTTCCTATGTTAAAGACTAATATTAAAAGGTTAGGTGTTAGATGTTCTTATTGTGAAGGTTGTCAGATTTTTAGGGGCTCTTTTTGTAAATAGGCTCTTATTTTGAAGGGATTCAGGTGTTAGATGCCCTTATTCTCATGTTTTACATGCTCTTATTGTGAAGGGCATCACTTTTTGAGGGTAACAGTGTAAATTGATCCTAAACCAACAAAGCAACAGGACTTGCTTTGTTTTTCTTCCCTCCAGGAGTTTTTCATTAAACTACAGATTATTGAGTTCAGAGATTCAAACAAACTGATTTATCCTGAAAACAAAGAGCTGCAGTTCAGTGTGTGTTTAGTGTGTGTGTTGAGCTGCAGTTCAGTGTGTGTTCAGTGTGTGTGTTGAGCTGCAGTTCAGTGTGTGTTCAGTGTGTGTGTTGAGCTGCAGTTCAGTGTGTGTTCAGTGTGTGTGTTG